GGGAGCACGTGAAGGGAAGAGAAGAGTCAAGGATGACTGATTTCTGGCTTGGGAAGAGGTGATGGGGTACAGCCCCGCAGGTTAGAACAAGACCCAACAACACCTCCAACAGCTGCGAGGGAGCGGCTCTGGGGGACTCGGGGTGGGGTGTAGTCTCCCCGGTCCCCAAGGCCATTGCACAGTGGGAGACTAGGCTTCCTGGGGGCTGCCTGGGAGGACCCAGCATCTGGAGTGGGCCAGAAGACTTGCACCTTTGAGGACAGGAACTAAAGCTCAGGGAGGTTTGGCCACTCGCCCCAGGGTCACACAGCTAGAACTTGGAGAAAGTGGCATGTGAATCAGAATCTGAATTTGCTCGGGGTCAGCTTCTGTCCTTGGCTGGACCAGCTCTGTCGCCTTCTTGAAGCCCCAAGAGCCTGAGCCACTACCCCAGCACAGACTGCCCTGGGAGTTGGGGGGTGGGTCCCTTCTCAGCCAGGGGTCCCAGCCAAGCCCACTCCTGGTCCGCTCAGCCCCAGGCTGGGAAGACTTTGTCCTGGCCCTGCTGTCCTGGTACAGCCAGAATTAGGGAGGCCCCAGGCTGGCCTGATGGGAAGGGAGCTGTGGGCCAATAGCTGCTCCTGCCACACCCAGCCCAGACCCATTAAGCGTCTTGCCTGGCCTCAGGGGCACCGCGGGCCTGGGGGGCACATTCTCCTTGTGGCTAGCGTCAGGTCTCAGCTCCATAGGCTCCAGGGCAAAGCCAAGGCGACAGCGTCCTTGGTCCACACCACAGCCAGCGGTCTGACCTGTTTGACGAGATGGGTTCTGAAGGGCAAGGACAGGATGCCCGGTCCCCGCCAGGCCACAGCCCAGCCCTGGTCCACACCTCACCCTTCACCAGTACCCCTGGTTGCCCTGGGGCCCACCCCCAGCTGTCCTGGTCAGACCACACCACCCGCTTTCCTTTGAAAATGTCTCGTGTCCTCCAGCACCTGCTCCTTCTAACGCTGACCACAGACCTCTCTCTCTGTGGCCCCTGCTTCCCAGGCAGCCCTCTCAGGTGTGGGCTCTCTCAGACCACTGGGCCGGGAGAGGGGGCCCTCTTTGCTTCCTGCTGCCGCTTCCCGCCTTCTCCTCTCTCCAGAACACTCTAGTCCGAAGCTCCAGGCAGGCCCTGAAACCAGTCCAGGCCCTGTCCCCTCGTTCCTTGAAAGTTTCAGCTCTGGCTCACTGTTGCAGTCTCCAACACACACCACGGTTCTTGGCGATCTCACCATCCACACGGCCGACACCTCCTACTCCTGGTGTGCAGAGTCCTCAATCTCTCCTTTCCCACCATCTTGCCCTTTGTCCCTTCTCAACCACCTGCTCCCATGGGGCCCCCAGACTCGGTCACCCTAAATAACTGCACCCACTACATAATTTCGGCTCCAGAGCCCACCCCCACCCTCTAGCACCCGATACAGTGGTCTTTCCCCCATCAGACCCTATCCTCTGGCCCTGCCGACCTCCGACAGTCCCTTGCTGCTTTGCTGTCTCACCCCTCCTTCCAAGGTTTAACCACGCGGTGTATAAGCACCCTTGGTACACCCTCCCCCTGGCCCCGCACCCCTCCTCTCTCTGCTCAACACTCATCAGTACATTTCACCTACTGCTGCATGGACCACCTCACTCCAAATGACCACCTTCCATCCCAAGTCAGGGCAAGGTTGTGGGAGACTCACACCCTAGTTCCGCCCCCCACCGCCCAGATGCCAAGTCACACTTTCTCCGTCCTCAAACCCCTGCCACCACTTCTCCCCCCCCCCACCCCTTCCAGCAGCCTTTGCTTTCTGCTGCAGTCAGAAAATAGGGTGATCGGAAGAGAAATGCTTTGTGTTCCTTTGCCAGCCAGCTTCCGGGCCATAGCCTCCTAGTCCTTCCCCCATCCTGTGTGGTCCCATTCCCAGCCTGACCCCCCTCCCTGCCCTCCGGGGGCCATCCCATCTTGCCTCCTCAAGGACAGCGCCCAGGGCCACCACTGGCCTCCCAGGTGCCGTTCTGTGAATCAGGAAAAGCACCCATGACCCCCAGAGTCCCACAGCAGACTCAGGCCTGAACTGGGGGGGCGAGCTTGGGCAGTGGGACACTGGCTTCGGTGTCCTTGCTCCAGAAACCAACCCCCACCAAAGCTTCCCCCTTTTATACTGAATCATTCCTACAAGCACTTAAGGACTTAATCATTGCTCTGAGTACTTCTTCTAACTTTAAAAAAACAAAGCGAAACAACGGAAAACCATCCCCCATCATTCTTCTTGAGCCTCCAGGTTCCAGGTCACCTCTCCTACTCTCACCATACCCAAATCCCAATTCCTCTCCCATCTCCACCTCTTCTGCCCTCCCTGCCATTGGCTCCCCCCACCCCCACCTGCCCAAAGCTGCTTTCTTCCAGCTGATCCCCGAGATGCCACGCCCCTGGCCAGCCCGCAGCCCTGGGCCTTCTGGAGGCAGAAGCCGCAGAGGATGGGGCTCACTCACTCGTCCCCGTGGGACCCCTGGCCTCCCTGACTCCAGGATGCCCTCTTCTAAGGTGTGGAACCAAACTAAAATGGAGATGAATGGAGATGGCCAACGCAGGTGCATAAAGGACACTTAACCTAACCTTACAGGAATTACAGTCCTTCTCACAAATCAGCCAAGGACACCAGCCAATCCTGACCACCAAAGTCTGTTTGTGCTCTCTCTGGACTTCCTTGTTCCCTTGGAGTCCCTTGAATCCAAGTAAGAAAGACCATTAGCTCCAGATCAATCAGTTCTAAAAACCAAATAACTTCTGCATTTATCCCATAAAACCCTCTTACTCTGTGCGCAGTCAGAACTCAACGCTTCTGTAGCCTTGAGTTTCCTGGCTCGTAGGGAGAGAACCTTGCCATGACTCAAGTCTTTCTGCTTAGTTTTATTCAGTGTGCAGAGTTTGGATTTTGATTGAGTTTCCTTCCCTCCCTCCTGCCTGCCACCTCCTTCCCACTCACCTCTTTTGGTTCCTCCTCTTCTGAGCTTGTGCCCTCAAAGTCCAATACCAGGGAGCCTGTCTCTTATGTTAGTCAAGTTCTCTCAGAACCCAGCTACCTCTAGTGATTTATGGCTCATCTGCTTTCTTGATATGATGGCAGAGTAGTTGCAACAGAGACCTTATGGTCATCAAAGCCGAAACCAGTGGGGCGCCTGGGTGGCTCAGTGGGTTAAAGCCTCTGCCTTCCACTCAGGTCATGATCTCAGGGTCCTGGGGTTGAGCCCCGCATCGGGCTCTCTGCTCAGCGGGGAGCCTGCTCCCCCCCACCCCTCTGCCTGCCTCTCTGCCTACTTGTGATCTTTGTCTATCAAATAATTAAATAAAATCTTTAAAAAAAAAAAAAGCCTAAACCATTTATTCTCTGGCCTTTAAGAACGTTTGCTGACCCCCTGTCTCGCATTATCGGCCCCTCCCTCATTAACTTACTGACCTCACCCCTTGTCCCTCTTGCTCTCTCTGCTCCAAACACACCAGCCTCCTTGCTGTTCTTCAAAAATGCTGTGTGTGAGTCCCTCAGGGCCTTTGCACCTGCTGTTCCCTCTGCCTGGAACTTTCTCCCTCTCCCCTTCAAGGCCAGCCTTAACCATGGCAGTGAGCCCTTCCCTGACCATTCTCCCCTGACTGTAGTGGGTCCCTGATGAGGACAACAAAAGCCAGAGAAATGTAGCTTAAATTACATCTCCTTACAGCCCGCAGCCATTGCTGAATTCCAGAGACAGGCAGAGCGTGACCTTCCTCAAGGAACTCATGGTTGCCCTCACGTTGATGTTTTACTAGATACGAAAACCAGCCTTATCTTGACAACAGCCAGACCTCCAAGGTCCTGTAGACCCTGCTCTCAGCACACAAAAATTCCTGAGGAACTCACATGATCTCTACCCCCACCCCTTCCTCCCCAGACTTAAAAGTCTAGAATCAGTGACTCCTCACAATCCTGGTGCAGCATTTTCTGCCCATGAGTCCTGTCCCCCTGCTTTAAGAAAACCTTTTCTACACCAAAAACTTCTCAAGAATTCTTTCTTGACTGTTCGATCCCGAACCCCACATCAGATCACAGCATCCCCACTCTGTCCTTTCTTTACCCTGCATGACTTTTCTCCATGACTTGCCACCACCTAACAGAGAAAAGAAAGTACAGTTTGCTCCCCTCCCTCCAGGGAGCTGCGAGCCACTGTCTTTTCTTCCCCTTCAGTATTTGCTGCAGCTGGACTCATACCTGGCCCATAAAGGGGCTTCTACACTATGCAAAATGAGCGCGGGGGCCATGGCAAAGGGCATGCAGCCTTTAGCGCACACCCTGTCAAATCGACACCGTAGCCGTAGGCATTAGGTCGCTTGTTCTAGAGATGGGGAAGCTGGAGCTTAAAGGGGCTACGGGTCTAGCCCACAGCCGCAGCAGGTCAGAGGCTGCAGAGGGGCCAGGGGTGGAAGGGGGACTAACGCCACAGCGCATGCTCAGAACCAGGACACCGCCCCCCCACCCACCCCCGCCAACGCTTTCCAAAAAAGCCTAGACACAGCTCAACCCTCAGGTTGGAGTCCCCACCCCGTGCCCGGGCGCGTCTGTCTATCCATGTGCTCCTCACCTCTCCCATCTCTGTCCGCCCCCCTGGACACGCCCCCCCCATCCCTGCCCAATGAAGGACACCAGAGCCTCCCTTCTCTTTCTACCCAAAGAAGCGGCGGTCACTTTTCCTGGCCTCCTGGGCCCGTCCTCCGGCGTCTGTCCTCCTTCTCCCCGTCGGGCTTGAACTTGGAGGGTTTCTCCGGCGAGGGCTAACTAACGACCCAGGCGGGTGGGGTTGGGGGGACGGCAGAGAACGCGCCGCCCAGCGCTCGCGGAGCCTGGAGGGGCACGCGGTGGCTCCAGGAGTCGGGAGGGCGGCCACCGGGGGCCGCCGCGTGGGCTGCAGGGCGCGGGCGGGGCATCCACTGGAGCGCGCGTCCTCCGCGAGGGCCCCGGTCCTGGCTCGCCTCCAATTGCGAGGCACGTGGCCTTGTGCAAGCCTCTTGCACGTGCAGGATAGGCGACGCGGCTGGCTGTCGGCTCCCCCTGAAACCCCCTCCCGTGGGGCGTGCTGGGCCCAGTCACAGTGCCCTCTAGGCTGTTCGCACCTGCCAAGCCTTTGCCCACGCTGTTCCCCATGGATCCCTGCCAAGCCTTTCCGCCCTCTGTCCAGACTGTACGTTTTTCCCTTTGCAAACCGGGAGAGGAAAGAGCAATTGACCTGGGGTCAGAAGACCTGTGATCGCCAGCCTTTCAGTTGCTGTGTGCCTTAGCAAGACCCTAACCTCTCTGACCCTCGGGCTTTTCATCTGCAAAGGGGAGGCTGTAACACTTCCTCTACTATCTCACTCGTTGTTGTGAACCTTTAACAAATCAATGCCGAAGAACTTTTTAAAAGTCTAAAGCAATTCTTGAAGGAGGGGGCAATTATTACTTCCTCCCTGAATCTGCATAGCTAACATCACCTCCTAAATCTGGTGGATTGAACCTTTTGTTATTTAGATCTTGGTGCTCAAAGAGTTGATGCCTTAAAGGCAAGTTGGTCAGATAACAATTTAGTTACACCAGCTCCCTTAGCCGGTTTGGCGTTTTTTGTGTTTTTTTTTTTTAAGATTTTTTTTTTTTAATTTTTAAGATTTTATTTTAATTAATTAATTTATTTGTTGGGGGCGGTGGTGGAGAACA